GCATCTACTTGATTACTCAGAGATAAATCAGTGAATCTGAGGATTCCACATCAGTTGTGATTATTGTGTGGCATCTACTTGATTACTCAGAGATAAATCAGTGAATCTGAGGATTCCACATCAGTTGTGATTACTGTGTTGCATCTACTTGATTACTTAGAGATAAATCAGTGAATCTGAGGATTCCACATCAGTTGTGATTACTGTGTTGCATCTACTTGATTACTCAGAGATAAATCAGTGAATTTGAGAATTCCACATCAGTTGTGGTACTTTACAAGAGGGGAATAGGTGATTTCCTAAGAATGAAGGATTGACTTAATTTTTTTTTTCAGGGGTAGATGTGCGGGCTAGTTTTGAAGGATCAAATGGTCTTTTGTTGTCTGTAATCTTAAACTAAAACAAATTGTATCCACCACACAAGAAGTGTAAGAAAAGCAGTAATAATGAAATAAATGTTTAGATTAGAAAAACTAGAAAGTTTGAGAAGTGTTTTTTAACGATTTTCTAATTCTGTCTGCTTTATGAAATTGTTCTATGTGTAGAAAAGATATATGGTTAATATATAAATAACAAAGTTATCAGTAAGTAATAAAAAATTACACATGTATGTGATACCGTACATGGCATTAATTGATCCACATTATTCTAGGTGGTCCCTAAAGACTTCAAAACTACAGCAGCTCTGTCAAAAGCAATAGAAAAGAACGTTTTATTTGCTCATTTAGATGACAACGAACGAAGGTAAGACTTTAACAATATTACCTAAAGTGGTATTTTTTACATAGTTAGTTTAACAAAACCATATTTTTTTATGGATTAAAGCAAGCTATAATAAATAATAGAAATGGTGTGTGTTGATTTTGTGAAGAAACTATGATTGAGGCGACATGATTAGACCAATACGTTCCTTAATCCCAAGTACAGATTACGTGTAGTGTCAAGAAATACTACACTGACAAAATATTTTCACACATGTAAAACCTTAAATATAAGATTGAGAGTTGTTAAAACAGAATTGGAACTATCTTTAAGACCTAAAGTGTTGGAGGTTTACCCTACTAACTAAACGTACACAGAATTGGAACTATCTTTAAGACCTAAAGTGTTGGAGGTTTACCCTACTAACTAAACGTACACAGAATTGGAACTATCTTTAAGACCTAAAGTGTTGGAGGTTTACCCTACTAACTAAACGTACACAGAATTGGAACTATCTTTAAGACCTAAAGTGTTGGAGGTTTACCCTACTAACTAAACGTACACAGAATTGGAACTATCTTTAAGACCTAAAGTGTTGGAGGTTTACCCTACTAACTAAACGTACATAAATATATCGAACCAAGAGGGTGTGCAGGAATTTTAATTTGACAGTTAAATTGAACACACATGCCCAGAAAAAAAACAGCATTACACTGACCAAAATGACAGAGTCAGTATGTTTACAGTTATTATTTGGGTGGGGGTGGGGAGCTCTTGCTTGCCCCCTTGTGCACACCCCTATACTGAACACAGTTTTACTTCTGTATGTATTCATCACCAGAAGTTCTAAAGTAATATAATATTTTCTTCATATAGAATTTATTATCAGAATAGTAATGCTTTCTTATGGTTTTATAGAACATGTAAGTACCCATACAAATCATAGGACTTATAAAGGAAAGCAGTATATCTGTAAAGTTGATAAATGTAACAATGTTAAGTTCTAGTGTTCCCTAATACAGCAGTGATAATTGTCTCTTGTTGATAAACTGAAACCTTAACCTAAGACAAGGACATGATTAGTAACATGAAATGTTAAAAGATAATCAGTTATTTGCACTAAAAATTCCTTCTTTCTGTCTGCCTGTCTGTATTTGTTCATCCCTATCTGTATGTTTATACTTCAAAATGTTTTTGTTTGTGTAAAATTTATAATTGTGTTGATGTAAAACCTCAATTTCTCCTTTAATAAAGAGAGTAACAAACTACTTTTTACAGTGACATCTTTGATGCTATGTTCCCAGTTGTCCACAGTGCTGGTGAAAAGATAATACAACAAGGTGATGAAGGAGATAACTTTTATGTCATTGATGAAGGAGAAGTAGAGGTGAGAGCTGTCTTTTTTTTATACCAAGCAAGAGGTAAAATATCTTTCAACAAAGTGAGGTAGTGGATGATATCATTAGGCCTAGGATTACATAATTGTGTGTGTTTTAAACATGGTTTTCAGTTAACAGTTATTTGTATCATGGTGTACTCTACAGTTATAACACCTAATGATCGTGTACATATATCATCACCACATCACAGTTAGTTAACACATGTTAAATTATCTTTAGAGCTCGGATTACTCTCTTCATTTCTACCTTTCCGTAGTCTTCTTATTGTGTAACCAGTAGGAGCTCTCTCCTTGGATTTGGCACAAGAAGCCAGTTTTGAATAACCATCAAAATGTGATAAAACTTTTATTAATAGTTTATAGTTTCAGTTTATTATGGTTTATTGAAACATGCACATTCATTGGCTTTACTTCCACAAAACGGGATTAAAGGTCACCTGTTTTAAACACTTGTACTATACATTAGTGTGTTGTCCGTCAGTCAGTAGACACTAAAATGATGTCACATAATGTTGCAATTTGTACTGTTGTGATGTCAATAAAATGTGTGCATGCTATGAATCGGGAGGCTACAACAGGACATATGAACTTGAAAAGCAAGAAATAAAAATATTTGTTACTCATAATTGTGGTCTTATTTACTCTTGAAACAGTAGACTTTTGGGGACCCTGTGGAAATACATCTTGTATGTATAGTATGTGTTCATTTAATATCTTAAAACCTGGGTTCTCAGCAAGTTAATTATCACTAGTTATTGACAGTAAAGGAGACTGATAGACTTGTATAAGAGAGAGTAAATTTTCCATAAGTGTAATAGGGGTTGGACAGCTTTGTTGGTTTTATTCAAGCTGGGCTTGAGTACAACTCTTTAAAATGACTGAAATACTAAATAACAATGATTCTGTATGTAATAATGTAAAATAAATACACAGCAGTTTGAATGGTGATATAGGACATAGAGGGGACTTAAGTGGTATTGATGTTCAAACGATATAGGACATAGAGGGGACTTAAGTGGTATTGATGTTCAAACGATATAGGACATAGAGGGGACTTAAGTGGTATTAATGTTCAAATGATACGGGACATAGAGGGGACTTAAGTAGTATTTATGTTCAAACGATATAGGACATAGAGGGGACTTAAGTGGTATTGGTGTTCAAACGATATAGGACGTAGAGGGGACTTAAGTGGTATTGGTGTTCAAACGATATAGGACATAGAGGGGGACTTAAGTGGTATTGGTG